AAGGCTCAACACTTACCACACTGGTTTAGGTCTTTCACCATGGACACACATGTCAACTTGATTCTGCTTTAACACCCCCTCATAGCTTTACCACTTTATTTACCTTTTTCCAATAGCACAGTACGTGTGGTCCAATATATTATCCATTACATGCTCCATGATATGAATGATTTCAGATTGCCTAATCCACATGCGATTTCTAATACACAGCAATGCTATCCTCCACCAATAGCCAAAAAAGTTATCTCTAATGTAATAATTAAAAGATAACAATATAGATATATTTTCCAAAAGAGTAACAACCCTTATTTTCAAAATCCCACAACCATTTTCTTCCCATCTCTTTCTAACCAAACCATTTACCAAAATCAATCTAACTCCCAAAACAATATCATTTAGGGTTTTCCTACAAATTGGGCCTTTTCTCTTTTAGAAAATCTAATGCAAGTTTGTTTACCAAAAATAGATTTAATAGCAAAATCATAACCAAACAACCCCCAATTTGTATAGACCCTCAACCCACAAAATATACCCCAAAAGCAACTAAGAACCACAAGATCTACATCTCAAAATATACCACAAATACACCAATGAACTCCTGTTGAATTAAGGAAATAGACCTTACCTTTTGAAGTGAAGAGGAGAATTCGAAAAAAATTCAAAGTCGATGAAACCACAAAACTCTTAGATCAAAAGAAAACTCTTGATGAGATCTATAATCTTTCTTAAAGGACCAAGGTGAGAAGATGTCTCTAACCAAGTAGATCTAGAGATCACCACCACCCGCCACCGTCACCCACCACCCGCCACCAGCTACCCACCACCCACCGTCACCACATTCCATTACCGTCTTCTGCAGCCACTTGCCACCATTGCCATTTCTCACTTTTTTTTTTATATTTTTAAATTTTTTAAAACATTTTGTCAATTACCAAACGTGTTTGTAGTTTATGTTTTTCTAAAAATAAACAAAAACCAGTATATAAATTTTTTGTAAATATAAACTGAAAACGTAAACGTTACCAAACACACCCTTAGTATTGGAAGAGTGTCACTTGGGGTGGTTTAAGGAAAAGCAAATCAATTTCTTAGGGGGGTTTAACCGCGTTAAAATGGGCTAATATATTGTTTGATTTCATATCCATTTTTTTTATTAGTCCATCAAAATAACAATGTAAAAAAGTTTAAAATTTAACCAGTGCTAATCGGAAGGCTCAACACTTACCGCACTGGTTTAGGTCTTTCACCATGGACACACATGTCAACTTGATTCTGCTTTAACACCCCCTCATAGCTTTACCACCTTATTTACCTTTTTCCAATAGCACAGTACGTGTGGTCCAATATATTATCCGTTACATGCTCCATGATATGAATGATTTCAGATTGCCTAATCCACATGCGATTTCTAATACACGGCAATGCTATCCTCCACCAATAGCCAAAAAAGTTATCTCTAATGTAATAATTAAAAGATAACAATATAGATATATTTTCCAAAAGAGTAACAACCCTTATTTTCAAAATCCCACAACCATTTTCTTCCCATCTCTTTCTAACCAAACCATTTACCAAAATCAATCTAACTCCCAAAACAATATCATTTAGGGTTTTCCTACAAATTGGGCCTTTTCTCTTTTAGAAAATCTAATGCAAGTTTGTTTACCAAAAATAGATTTAATAGCAAAATCATAACCAAACAACCCCCAATTTGTATAGACCCTCAACCCACAAAATATACCCCAAAAGCAACTAAGAACCACAAGATCTACATCTCAAAATATACCACAAATACACCAATGAACTCCTGTTGAATTAAGGAAATAGACCTTACCTTTTGAAGTGAAGAGGAGAATTCGAAAAAAATTCAAAGTCGATGAAACCACAAAACTCTTAGATCAAAAGAAAACTCTTGATGAGATCTATAATCTTTCTTAAAGGACCAAGGTGAGAAGATGTCTCTAACCAAGTAGATCTAGAGATCTATGTAATAAAAGTTAAGTTTCTAAGAGAGAGAGAGGGATTCACGATTTAAAGTGGAGAGAGAGAGAGAAATGAATGAGAAAAGTGTGTTTAGGGTCTATTTATAGTGGTAGAATAATAACTCTAAAGTCAATGAAAAGAATAAGTCAAAACCCCTAAAACTTTGGCCCAAAATCAAACTAAAATTTCTGAAAATAGCTCACAGGGGTCGATCCTCAAGACAGTGGTGTCGACCCTAAAAAAGAAAAGCTGAGACACCAATGTGTGCAGCAGACGAGGGTCGACCCTAGGAAGCAATAGTGTCGACCCTATATTTCAGTAGCAACACCCAGAACATAGCAATAGACAAGAGTCGACCCTGGGACCCGTGACGTCGACCCTATAAACCAGCAAAGACACTAAGAGTAAGGCAACAAGGTGGTGTCGAACCCCAGGAAAACTAATGTCGACACCAAAACAAATTTTCCAAGTTTCCAAAGAACTTTTCAACGTAAACAAGAGCGAATGAACAATCTCAACAAGTCTAAATTGAATTGTACACTTCCAAAACCAAAATACAACAACTCCAAAGACTACCAATGTGAAAATAAAGAAATTAAATACACTCTCTAATAGTTTAAAGGACACAAGTGCTACAAAACACAAGTATAAATGTTAAACATATCCATTAAATTTGGTAACGAAAGCTTGAAGTTATGCTATGATATTAGTTGATATGTGCAATACTTTACCAGTCTGTACAAAAATTAAGTTGTGTTCTAAATGTAGTATTGTACAATCAAATGTTGTCTTGTTACAAATTCGATAAGTTTTCGTTCTTGCATAAATTGATCGTTTAACATTTCTTTCAAAATTTTGAGACTTGTGTTTTTAAAAACTAAGACCTCATGACTTGATTAAACCTATCACTTAGTTGACATGTGCAATACGTGTATTTCATAGATGGACAGTGAGGGTGTCGTAGATGATGCACAAGACTTAAGGTTGTGGCCAAGGAGGATTGAATTGGCCTTCATACAAATGATGGTGGAAGCGGTGAAGCAAGACCCTTCCTTAACTAGGAAAAACTCTTTCATTATAAGGCATTGCAGTTGGATTGACGATGAGCTATACAAGTAGTTTAAAGTTAGGTACACGGTTAGCTATTTGAAGCAAAAGTACCATCACATCAGGCAATCGTACAATACTTTTGTGAAATTAAAGAACCATACGGGATTCGGATGGGATGACCACAGAAAAACGGTCACAGCCCCAGATGACATTTGGGATAAATATGTTAAGGTAACTACCACCACCTTGGAGCTGACTACAACTTTCATAGTGCACTTAGTTAAATACAAGTTACTTATTTACCACATCTTTGGTTGTCTTAATTTTATAGGCACATCCCAAAGCTAAAGTTTTCAAGAAAAAAGGACTAGATAACATGGATTTGTTAGATGTCCTCTTTGCAAACTCGCAAGCCACTGGCGTACTTACCCGTACTTCAACCCAAGGACCCTCAAGCTCTGATGAAGAAAGGGCTATCCAAAGTGCATTTTTTGGTGTTGGTATCAATTCTAATACTGATTCTTTCCATGTTGGTGACGAAATTAAAGGAGATGATGAACTGAAGATAGGTGAGGGTAGAGGTAATGATGGTGGGCGAAATGGTGCACACCTGGATTTAGCATTTGATACATAGACTGCCACGAATCTTGCAAAAAAAGAATTTTAATGCGCCAAAACAAAATGTCTAAAGTGAGTCACGTCGACAAGAAATAGTGCTCCATTGATGCATGTATGGACTGTTGGGCAACAATGGAAGGAATCAATCTTGACCAATATCTGAAGGCGTGTGAGAGTTTCTGCGATAAAACAAATAGAAGAATGTTCATTAGGATGTCCCCCAACATAAAGATGCATTGGGTTCTTAAGCTAGCGTAGGAATTAACTTGGAAAATGGATTTTGTTTAGCATCCAGTTTGCTGGAAGTCAATGTATGCGGCTAAATTTTAAACAACTGCTCTCTTTTTTTCCCTCTGTATTTCTTATGTGTACTACGGATATATAAGGGACTTGGTGGCTTTAAGGGTGTGTGGGTTAGCATGTCATGAATAGTATGAAACCATATTTATCAAGTTTGGGACTGTTATGAACTTGTGTTGTTAGTTGTGCTATGAACAATAAGTTCTTTAGCATGTTGTCAACAACTTTGTTGTATGTGTAATCCAATTGTCCGTAGCTTCATATTTGTCAATCTTTACTTGATGTGTATGTCATTCTGGTTAGGTTGCATATTCCCTTACATGTTGTCAATATAACTGAACTGAAAATCCACAGTACAGAGCAAATTACATAATTATCTTAGCAGGTACTCTGTCTAAAGCCTTTCTTCCCATAGCAGGAACCCTGTCAGAAATAACCCATGAAGAAAAGAAGCCAAAAAATTAATTCAAATTCCTAATTATGAAAAGCTAAGTTAAGTTAAATTATATACACCACAATATGAATTACAAGGTCAAATCACGACCATAAGAGCACCATAAAAACTGGTGACAAATTGAACAAAATTCATCCAACCAACATGATTCCATATTTCCAACACTTCCATTGTCAACACAACCTAATAGATTTCATATTTCCACAACTTCTATTTTGTTTTGTATGGGATCTGTTGCAAACCTTCACTCAAATAGAAAAATAGGTAAGTGCTCCACTTTTATATATAATTTATGTCACCTATATAATAAGTGAACATCGATATTGGTTATATTACACTCACCTGTATAGTGACTTGATAGTATTCATATTTTTCTTCTTTATCAGGACATAAGTATTTGAACGAAGTAGTTTATACTTTTGTATGGTAAAATTAATTTTACCTCTTTGTGGTATGGATGGAAATTGGATTTTCATTTTAGTTACTTTGTAATTACAAAAATGGGCATGAGCAACACAACAATTGATATTCATATGGACGATGAAATATACAATCAGCAAAATGAATTTCTCGACTATGACAACAACATGGTGAAATGGATTCAAGTGGGGATAACGTGGACAACAAGGATAGCAAAGACAGTGAGGACAGTAAAGACAATGAGAACAATGAAGATAACGCTGATAGTAAGGACAGTGGCGACAATATTGCAAGTCACGTGAGGTCATCATTTATTGCATTAGACAACGATGATATCGACTTTGAAATGGTTTGTCAAATATACAAATCAACCAATGGACTTTCGAGTAAGATGCCGCAACGGACGTGTCCGTACACAAGATCCACACAAAATTCGAGAGATCTTGTGGATGGATGCGCCCACATTCCGGTCCTTTTGTACTGAATTGAAACACTGAGAGTTAATAAAGGTAAAGAAAAATAGGTTATCTGTAGAGCAATCACTCGCTATATTTTTGTATATATGTAGACATAGTGAATGACATAGACTAGTGGTTTATCGTTTTCAACACTCAACGGAAACTATTCACTGACATTTCAAAATTATGATGAGAGTATTGTGTCGTCTTGCTATGCTTGTCATCTAACCACTAGACCCAAATGCCATTCCTCCTGAAATTCAAAACAACCCAAAGTGTTACCCATTACTTAAGGTTAGTTTCAGACACCCTTGTTTGGTTCCAATTTTATGATGTCAATTATTTTAAAATTGGGTGTAGTTCATGTTCATTAGTATTTGTTTCTTGTCATTGTAGAATAGTTAAATTTGAACCAACTTTGTAATTGTTAGATACACTCAATATAAATACAATTACAAAGTACAAGATTTGGGTTTACAAATTTTCAACAAGTTCACTAAGTATATAAATTATAAAGAATAAAAATAAACAAATGAAACTTCGAGATATAATTATCTCGTGTATGTAGTGCTTTTTTAATTGTAAAAAATATTTTACTTTTGCAACACATCGATGTTACTCCATCACCAGTCCGTAAAAAAATTGGTTACAATCTTTAAAAAAAATCACTACCAAAAAAAAACACAAAAAAATAAAAATAAAAATGATAAGATTTAGAGAATAGAAAATTAAATTTCTGCCACATTGGAACCAATGTGGCATTTAGACAAACGTACTAATTTACATATTTGTGTATGTAGGACTGTATAGGGGCAATTGATGGTACGCACATTGCGGCGCATGCACCTACTAGAAAGAGAAGTGTATATCGTGGTAGAAAGGTTGCAATAACACAAAACATTCTTGCAGCATGCTCATTCGACATGAAATTTACTTTTGTTTATCCCAGTTGGGAAGGTAGTGTAATTGATTCAAGAGTGTTATCCAATGCGCTAACACGTCCCGATGTAGCATTCCCTCTACCTCTTACGGGTAAGGCTTTTGCTTCTGTAGTCACGTTGCTTAGTAAGCATTACTTAAATGTTTGCATGTAATTTTTATGTGTTAATGTGGTATACTGATGTAGGTAAATATTATTTGGTTGATACGGGTTACACAAATATGATAGGATTTCTCGCACCATATCATTCAAAACAATATCACTTGGACCAATTTCGTGGATGTCGACATCAACCAAATGGGTACAAGGAATTGTTTAACTATCACCATTCATCACTAAGAAATGTGATAGAACGATGCTTTGGGGTGTTGAAAAATCATTTTCCTATATTGAAATCCATGCCGAACTACATGCAAGTTCGACAAGGCACATGTTGTGCTTGTCACAACCGGATCCGCATGCATTTTGCAAATGATCCATGGTTCAATAGGCAAACAGAACATGCAACTCCTATGGCAAGAAATAGTAATTTAGAAGATGAAGTCATGAATGAAATGGTTCAATTTCGTGATGAAATTGTGACAGCTATGTGGAACAACCGTAAGGTTCATCCATAGTAGCACATGTCACTTGTCATTTGCAATAGGATATTGCATTATCTGTTGTGTTGAAACTTATGTATGACCTATACTTTTAAATAATGTTTGTGTCAATTATGTGTTACACTAAGACATATGGATATGTGATGTTTACTATCGATTATGAAATGTTGTATTATTTTATTGTGTTCTGTCCTACATATGATGCTATATATGGAAAATTGTTGTAGGAAGTGTTGATGGAGCGACAATTGAGTCGACTTTGTTGTTGTGGCGCTAGACCAATTCGAGTGTGGATGGCCCGCACTGTGGCTAACAATGGTAGGTACTTTTACTGTTGTCATAGTGGCCTAAGCCACAGGCAGGCATTCATTTGTGTGGTACAAAATCAATATGCAGCGAAGTACAAATTCGACGCCAACAATAAGAAACAGGCTCCTTTATGCTTGTTGTAGGTGTAACATTCTGGTCTCATTGATTGTTATTTGTCTATTACTTGTGCTACTTAGTTTCAAATTTCTGAATGCCTAAATGTTGACAACAAACAAAGTTGATGTTCATTATTAATGAACAAACTTGCGTTTCTAATATATGTAATCACTCTTCTTCACGTTTGCATTATGAATATTGTATGAAAGATTGTATTATGCAACCAAGATGTGTCCGCGCAATTATAAATTTTGGTTATGTATGTTTGGTTTATGAGTTTCTTTTCATATTACATATGAATTTTTTTACGAATTATTTGATTACGAACTTGCCCTTGAATTAACTGTAACAAGTTTTTTTTTTTTTTTTGGTCATGTTTTTTTTTTGCAAATGTGCTACTGAGTGAAAGTCATTTTAAAATATTTCGTACAAAATATTTTCTCATAATTTTCATAATCCTTTAAAATATTTTTGTACACAGTTTTTTTTATGTGCTCATGTAATTTTCATAATCGTTTAAAACATATTTTGATTTTCTGTGCTTAGTAGTTTCATAATTTAAAATAATTTTTTACAACGTGCTTATATAATGTTTATAATCTTTTAAGAAAATTATTTGTTTATTTATTGATTACGTATTAGACACACTTCATCTTCATAAATGTAAAATTTTAAAAAGTAGTATAAAAAACTTCAAAAAAATTGTATAAAATACAACAAAATATGAAAATGTACAATTTTTTGTATTTTGAACTCTTTGTTGTATTTAGTGTATTAATGAGCTTGAAAAATTATGATAAAATTTTTAAACATACATTTACAATTTTAAATGTAAAGAAAAATTTATATTAACTTCAACAATTGATGAAAACGGATTGCAAATACAAATTTATGAACTTCAATAACTTGAAAATTACATTGTAAAAAAATTACATTTATAAATTTTCATAAATGTTAATTAGAAAATTTATATTGTCACAAAATTTCGTAACGTTAACACAAATATGCGTAGCATCATCGGAAATTGGCATAAAAAAATTGTACAAAATTTGGTATTTGATATTGCAAAAGCTTGTAAGTTGGTTACGATTTATTTTTAATGTTAATTTGTGACAAAATTACGTATTTTGTGGTTACTATCACAAAATTTTATGATAAAATTATACATTTAACAATAGGATATGCATTCATAAATGGGTTTATACCAAATTATGTTTTGATACATATATAACATGTACATATACATAAAACAAACATGGGAGTACTTTTGATGTGACAATTTTTTTTTTTATTTTGTTGTTGTTGCTGTTGAATGTATCTAGTCTCCTCTCTCCTCTTTTGGAGGGAAATTTCAATTTAATAGTAAATTTTTTTGAAACCAAACACATCTATTTTTAAAATATAGTTTTCAAATCACTTTTTCAAAAAAGTCAAAAAAAAAAATCTGGTTTTTAATGATATTGCCAAAATAAATGTGTTTAATTATAACTAGTGGCCGAGGACACATGCGATGTGTGTGCAAATTTAGAAAAAGTTATATTATGCTACATTTTTTTGAATAATAGATATGTATCATGAGTATAATATAATGTATTGTAATATAACATTTGATTTTAATATATTTCATAAATAAAATATGTACAACATGATATATATTTATATATATATATATATATATATATTAATCTTTCAAAATATTCAATATTTATGAATTTTCACAAATATATATATACACATTATGTGGTAAAGCAAGTTGAAAAAAATTTGTCCCCAATAGCACAATGTGGCAAAGCAGCCTGAATTTTTTTTTTTGTAATAATAATGAACAAAATTAAATTATAAAAATAAAAAACAAATAATCACTGAGATGTGGTTTTATATAAATAAATAAATAAACAATCACTAAGATGTGCTCTCAAGTTTAAATTTTGAAAATATTGGCCAAGAAGAGTGATATTACTTAACAGAATTTATAAATAAACAAAAGTTTCTATGATTGAGAATATAATAAATTCAAGACTCTTAAACGACTAAAGAATTTTTACCAAAGAAAATAAACAAAATAAACAAATTCAAAACTCTTAAATAATTATAGAATTTATTTAAAAAAGAAAAAAAAAACCGAATTTATACCCAAAATAAAAATAATAAACAATCATTAAGAATATTTAAAACATAAACAAACCTATTAATTTTAGTTTTTTTTCAAAACAGAATTTATAGTTTAGAATAATAATGAACAAAATTAAACTATAAAAATAAATAAATAAACAATCATTAAGATGTACTCTCAAGTTTAAATTTGAAAATGATTATCCAATAAGAGTGATATTACTTAACTGTTAGAAATTGGGCGCCTATGTGGCATGACCCTTAGAACCTTTTGAACCTGAACCTTTTGAACCTTATTCATGTAAGTTTGAATTTGAATTTGAATTCAAACTTATTTGGATAATCATTCAGGATATCTATATCTATCATATCAATAGATATGGATAGATGGATAGATAGATATTGGTTATATATCAGATTATATGGTTAATCTAAAGATATACGTATATCAGATATACGTTATGTGGTTTTTACCCATAACCATTTTTCTCATACTCTCTCTCTGACTCTCTCCCAGAAAACAACGATCAAGCCATTTTGCACTGTGACTTGTGTGGGTGATACTCATTTTGTAGTATCACTCCACTGCTGGGTTCGTTGACTGATCAGATTTTAGAAGCACGTGATTTACCCACGAGGTTGTGTCATTAAGGTATGATACGAATTATTTTTATCCGCTGCATTAATTTATAATACTTTGATTTACATTGGTATCAGAGCGTATATAGGTTTTTTTCGTGCTTATTTTTTATGCATTAAAATATGTGTATTTTTTTATATAAATATATACACATTACATGCATGAAAATTAGATTGAGAATGTGATACATCTCATTTTTATGTTCATTAAACGTTATTTTTAATGCCATAAATGTTTTTATTGTGAAAAATGGAGTCTGGCAGTATAAAAATCGAACCAAAAAACACCCTGAAAGGCGGAGCGTGGGCCTCACGCGCCACCTGACGCCGTGGGAGGCTTCCACGCGCCTCCACGCACTGTCACACGCCTCCACGCGCGCGCTGTTCCGCGCTTCCCACGCGCGCCCTCAGCGCCACACACGCGCGCCACGTGCTGAGCCGCGCGCGCTAAGCCGCATCGTTTTTCCTCTGCCGGCTTGGCTGCTGATGTAAGGGTTTGTTTGTTTTGTTTTTATATTCAGAATTACGTTAAATGGTCATAATTGCTTGGCTGCTGATGTAAGGGTCTGTTTGTTTTGTTTTTAAATTCAGAATTACGTTAAATGGTCTTAATTAATTCGTTATAGCTTTGTTTTAAACGTGGTTAGTACCGTTAGACTCAAAATTATATTTTCTATCTTTTGTAAAATTTTGAAAATTTTATGAAAACAAAAAGCATTTTTCCTGTGATTATAATTCATTATTTATGCTTCAAAATGCTTCTGGTATTGCATAAATTATTTTCTGGGGTTGAATTTTTTATTGTAGACTTCTGAAATGTTTTACTATTTATTGGAATAATTTTTTCAGTTTATCAGATTCTGGAATTTTTTATTTCTAATTTAATGTGTGTTTATTAGTTATTTAGAATTCCAGAAAATTTCAAAAAAATTCTAGAAAATTTCAAAAGTGATACAGTTTCTGTTATGGCATAATTTAAATAGTAAATACAGCACATTATTTTTTTTAGGGTTTGTAATATGTTGTGATTAGAATAGCATGATTAATTATTTTTTTTATTTTAATTCCGTTATTAAATGTAGCATAGCATGAGTTGATTGTGAATCTACGTTATGATGCTATTGTATGGAATTAGAATAGTTTATCATGCTTTTAGACATGCCATAGTCAGTGGGAGGTTATTCGGTTGAGAGAAATCTTTGTAGATTAACTCTCGAAAACCAATATTTTGCGCATAAATTAAATTAAATTTTGGATAATTGTTACTTGTGGCACAAGAGATGATTGCGAGCATAGTGAATTTTCGATCTTGCGATTTGTGTAATATTGTCACTATTTAATTTAGATTTTTGTGGCAAAATTATATTATGCTAATCAAATTAATCCCAATGCGAATTTCTCGAATTTCTCTCTAAATTGACTTAACTTATGAAAGTTAATTGGTTGACCTAGACTTAGTAAAGATATTCAAATGTGAACAAAGTAATCCCATTCTTTAGATGAGAAAAAGTCTTGGAGACTTTAGGTCGAGTCTTAATTGAGCCAAAGTAAGGAAACATGACTCAAAGTCGCCGTGGTTTTGTTGCTTTGTTTGGCATAATAAAAACTAATGTGCGCGCTATGGTTAGCGGCACGCTACGTAGTTTTGGTTGGCGAGTTTTGGAGTTATGAAATTATTAAGCCCTCAATAGATCTGTATATGATCTTGACTATTGAGCTGCGCGGATTGACTTTGTAATTTGACTTGTAAATAATGTTACATCATTAGATGAAGTAACATTCAAGAGTCACGTCATCCAAGAAATGCGAGCTTAAATAAATTAGTCATTAAGTGTAAA